GCTTCCAGGAGCCCAGAACTGCCCATCCTCAGGCCCCCCACCCCCAGGCCCGGGGCCATCTCTGCTCCCTCGGCCCCAGACACCAGGGGCAGGGAGGCAGCCCCACCGGGGAGAGGCCACGAGCGCGTCGCTGGACTCTGCTGGCCCACACATCCTAGGAAGGAGTCCTGGTCCGCAGGCACGACCTTGACGTCTACGGGAGCTTCTCTCCCACTTCTCAGGAAACAGGGGCTTCTCGGTCCATCTTCGTTTTCACTCTTGAGGAGATAGAGACATGAGTGCAGAATAGATTTTTTTTTCCTAAAAAGCACCGCCGTGGGACACCTGGGTGGCTCAGCTGACTAAGCACCTTCCTTCAGCTCAGGTCATGATCCCAGGGTCTTGAGATCGAGTCCCACATCGGGCTCCCTGCTCAGTGGGAGTCGGCTTCTACCTCTCCCTCTGTAGCTCGCCCTGCTTGGTTCTCTCTCTCTCTCTCTCTCTCTCTCTCTGTCAAATAAATAAAATCCTTTTAAAAAGTAAAAAATAAAACCCACCATCACTGTGCAAAGCAAGAGATGGCCATGGCACCCTACCCATGAGCTAGGCTCCCCAGAGAGAGAGAAGACCGCAGTCAAAAAGGTGAGTGCGTCCACGCAGAGTGGTTGCTGCTTCACGCCCCGGCTTGGTGTGCGGGGCGGGAACAAAGGCCAGCGTGGCCCGATACGTGGACTTTTCAAGAGAAACTGTGAATTCCAGTTTTCATGCGGAATCTCCCAGTTTTTACAGTTCAATCCAGTTTTGTCAAGACACCCGGTGGGGCAAGCGGCACCCTTCGGCAGACCTGCAACACCTGCAGAAGGCGTAACACCTCTGGGTGCGAGCGCGCAAGCTGTGTGCCCCGGCCCGGCCGGCCTGGCCCCTTCCCAGCTGCCCGCCCGCTTCTCCCAGGGGGCAGCTGCGCCGCTCGCCTCCGGGGGCCCAGGTGCCCTCGTTTCACAACTGGTATCATCCCGGCAGCACTTAGTAATGAGGAGATGCTTGACGTGACTTCTTGATTTTTTAATCGAAATTGCCACTTCCGTAGGTCGGCCGGCTGCGTCCCCATGAGTGCGTGCAGCTGGAGCCCCCTGAGCTGCTCCCGGCCGCTGCCTGGTGAGGCCGTCGGGGCCCGGGCCACTGTCCTGGGCTGCTGTCGGCGCAGCCTGCCCGGCTCTGCACCTTCGCCCCGGCCCCGCTGTCCGCTCCGGGCCACGGGGTGTCAGGGACACGGTGGCAGTGAAGGCTGGGCCCAGCCCACAGACCCCCACCCATGCCTGCCTCGGCCACAGGGCGCTGGCACACAATGTGGGTGCTCCCAGAACACACTGCTGGAGCTGGGGGGGAGCCCTGGGGGAGGACCCCTGGGAGGATCCCTGGGGGAGCCTTGTGGGGGAGTCAGGGGGCAGAGCCCCAGGGGAGGCGCCCTGGGAGGGAGTCTTGGGGGGAGGCCCTGGGGGGAGCCCTGGGGGAGGAGCTGTTGCGGGGAGCCCCGGGGAGGGAGCCCCGGGGGGCATGTAAGGGAGGAGGCCTGTGAGCAGTCAAGGAGGGGGGTACCCCTGACTTTCTAAGCAGACCTCCCGGAGTCAGGTGAGCCTGGCAGGTGAGCCTGGCACTTGGCCCCAAGGGACAGCAGGTCTGAGACCCGCTTCCAGAAGAGCCCTGAGAACCAGGGAGACGCACAGAGTCGAGTGTCTCCTTCAGCCCGGCTCGGCTGTGCCCTTCGCTGCAGGCGGAGAGCCGGTCGGGGAGAGGCCGGTGGCCCGGGTGGGCTGCGAGCGCCCCTCGGCCGGAGCAGAGCATCTACACGGTCAGCCTCGTCCTTGGAAACGAAACCCAACGGTCTCACGGCTGAGGTCGGGGTCCCCCGGGCTTCGGGTCACGTCACCCCCAGGGTTGCAGGGACCGCCCTGGCGTGCCGCCCTCTCACACAGCTGAATACCCTTTCCTGACCTGCCCCCCGCAGGCCTTGCACCTTCCAGAATGAATGGGCTACAGGCCCAGGGGCGAAAGGCCGCGGGGGCCCCAGGGGCCGCCCCGGAATGTGCCCCCCCCCCGCCAGCTGCAGCCACTGGCTCCCAGGCCCACCGCTGGGCTCCGGGGCAGGACTGGGCACTGGCCTCGCGGGCCTGCAGTCGCCCTCGGGTGGCCTCGAGCACAGCAGCCGCAGGGCATGGGGTTGGCGGGCCACGTCCCCCAGGGCCCGATGCGCCCCACGGCTGCGGCCATAGCTCTGGCCTGGCGGCCATCCTGAGCCCTGGGGGAGCCTGGTTAGCACAGGCGGTGCCTCGGAGGCTGGGGGCGGCCACCTGGGGGGGCGTGCGGGGGCCTCACCCTGGGTCCCCCGCAATTTACAGCTCGTCCATATGCACGACGGCCCCTGGAGGCCCGGGCCTCTCCCAGGAAGGCTGATGGAAGGCCGGGAGGAACAGCCGCTGGCCATGCTGCTGGGGGCGGGCAGGGATGGAAGGAACGACGGAAGGCGGAGATGCATGGTGCAACGTGGCCGAGGCAGGGGCCCCCACAGGGGCTCTCGGAGCGCGGGACCCCAAGGCCTCCCGGAGGCTTGCTGGGGCGCTCTCCGCTCTCAGAGCCTGGGCATGTGATCTGCTCCTGCACAGACCCCTCCTCGACGGGCCAAGAGCCCTGGAGGGGCTGGTGGGTGACACCTGCTGCCCTCAGGGGCCCCCACTCGGCTTGGCTGACATTTGGGGTCACAGGGATCCTCCGTGTAGGGGCGGCCCTGTGCGTCGCAGGATGGACCCAGACGCCTCCCAGCGCTGTCAGACAGGGGGGCAACATCGTGCCAGTGGGGCCGGGGGCGTGAAGGGACCGCCGCTGTGCCCAGGACCCTTCCTAAGGGCGAAGCACCCCGGCAGGGAGCAGAGGTGGGTGGGGAGGCAGCCAAAGCCGGGCTGGGGGCGTGTGAGCACACGTGCCCAGAAGACAGGTAAGGCCACCATCTGCGTTGTGGCCACAGGCTGGGCCTCAGGGGCTCAGGGCCGCTGAGCAAAGGTGCATCTCAGCTGGCGACCGCATTCCAGGGACGCGCATCCCCACTCGCCCGCCATCGGGGGAGGACGGAGGCCCCGGGAGGCAGAGGCGCCGGGCCCGGGCAGCACAGGCACGAGACCCCAGGGCGCCGCAGCCCGTGCCTGGGAACCGTGGGCAGAGCTTCCAGGCGCTCATTGACGAAACCAGGCGCAGGGCTGGGAAGGCGGCCTGCGGCCACGCGTGGACAGCGAGGGCCCCGCTGCAGGGCGGCCTGGGGAGGCGCCCACAGACCTGCAGCTGCCTCCTGGCCCAGGGCTGAGGCCGCGCCGCCAGCAGGCCCCACAGCAGACTGCACGCAGCCGGCCTCCCCCCATGGCCGCACCTGCGTGGGCGCCTCTGGGCCCTGCCACCTGCCCCCGGGAGCCGCGTGAGCGAGCCCAGCCCACCCCGACCGGGAGCTCCCGGCGCCAAGGTCACCACGGGCGCGGCCAGGTCTGCACGGGGCGCGGGTGGAGGGCCCCAGCAGTGCAGGGAGTCCCAGGTAGTGCCGTCGGGGGGACAGGTGTGTGGTGGGGCAGACGCAGGAGCGGCCACCGGGTTCTCCGTGGGCAGCCAGGTCCTCGGGATGGAGGCAGACAGCCGGAGGCAGGTGTCTGTCGGCAGCCCGAGAGCTGGGGGGATGGGGGGGCACCAGGGCTGCTGTCCCCTGCTTCCCGCAGGCTGGCCGTCGGCGTCCAGCGTGTGCCCACGGCCCAGCGAGCGGTGGCCCGGCGCTTCCTGCACGGCTGCGAGTCTTGCCGCGACCGTGATCCTGTGTCCTCTCCTTGCGGCAGAGGCCGGGGACTCGGGGCCCCCTCGCGGCAGCAGAAGCCGCCTTGCCCGACAGCGCAGAATCCACCGGGCCGGTGCCAAACCGCGGGGACGACAGCGGCCTGGGCCCCCGGGGCACTGCCCTGTGAGACAGAAGTCGGGCGGAAGGGGCTCCTGGGCCACCTGGGGATCCAGGGAGCGGCAGGCAGGGGCAGCGGGGACCAGGGGAAGCAGAGGGACAAAGGACTTCTTCCCCAGCGCTGCTCCCACAGGCCCACGGCACCCAGCCTCCCCTCCGTGGGCCCAACAGGGGTGCTGAGCGGCCCCGGCCCTGCCCCACCCGTGCCAGCGGCCGCGGAGCACCCAGCACAGCAGCTCCCGGGCGACAGCAGAGCCACTGAAGGGGTCACGGAGCCACCGTGCAGCCCTAGTCTAGGGCGGCCCTGGCCTCTCGAGGGCCTGGGGTCCGGGGCCCAGCAGCTGCCACAGTGGCACCTGCACCCCCACCAGGGCCTCCGGGAGCCCGGGGTCGGACACCCAGGGATTTCGAGGCCACCGTGCCTCTCTTGCCCCCCTCTTGCCTGCCACCGGAACAGAGAACCCGTGGTCTCCTTCCCAAGCCTGGCCCGCCGCCACCAGGACCCAGACTGTCAGAGCGGCTGGGACAGAAGGCGCCGGGGCCTCTGGTCTCCGGGGCACACACCCCAGCGCCGCATGACCCGGTGCGTGCTTGAGCTTCCAGAGCAGCTCACGTGGGGCCAGGGCAGCTGCAGAGCCCCCAGGCGGCCTGCTCCAGCCCGGCGCCCCCACCCAGTCTCCGCAGCGTTGGGACACCCGGGCTGCTCACAGCACAGTGTCCGCGTGACAGCGTGGGGGACGCGGCGGGAGAAGCCAGACCGAGACGGGCACCTGCTGCGGGGCTCTGGTTCACGAGCAGGCACGGGCCATCTGTGTGGCCGCCTCGTGGGCGCAGGCCTCGGGGCCCCAGTGGGTCTGGGTGCGGGTCGTCTCCTGCTCCCTGGGTATGGGTTACACGGGTGTGCTCAGTTCTGGGGGTTCCCTGAGCTGGACGCTCGGGATGCTGGGGACACTCGGGCTTTCCCTGAAGCCTGGGGACCTTCCGTGGGGTTTCCAGGACCCACGGAGCCAGGGGCCTGACTCGAGGGCCGTCCACTCACCGGCTGCAGCCCGTCCTCCTGCCTCCGGCTCCCCGGGCGGTTGATGAAGGACCGTGTGGAGCCCTTGTAGTGGTTCAGCAGGCAGACGATGACCACGACCATCACCGTGACCACCACGACGACGACGATGATCTGCGCAAACTCCAGCTCCGCTGTGGTGGAAAGGGAGAGCGGTTACCGCGTGCCCCGGGCACCCGGGCTCTGCGAATAGGCCGCCGGGCCTGCAGGGCCCCATCCTCTCTGCCCCACGGGGCTGCCCTTATCCCCGGGCCTGCACAGGGCCACCCCGGCCGGGACCTAGGGGGGCAGGGGACACGCGTGGTCCGACCCACCTGCTCGGTGCACCCCACGCCCAGTGAGGCCTGAGGCAGGGGTGCTGACGCCCGAACCCTGGCGCTGAGGGGTGCACGGGGCGCACCTGCACAGGGACCCACGTGGCCTGCAGGTGTGCCCCGCACCAGCTGGTTGCAGCCCGGGCTGCCTGAAGGGGGGCGGCTGGAGGAGAGCCACTTGCGAGCTCTGCACCTGCCGGGCACGGGGGGGAGGAGGCGCCTGGGGTGCTTGGGTGCCTGGCGGGTGGGGAGGGGCCGCGTGCAAGCTGTGATCCTGCGGGGGGGCCCGGGGCGCTCAGGTGCCTGGGGTGATGGGGAGGCTGGGGGGCGGCTGTGCCAAAGCGAGCCTGCTCTCCCGGGTGAGGACTCCGGGACCCGAACCCTCTATGGTGAGACACACTTTGCAAACCACATCCAGGGGCCACACAGACGCTGCGACGAGAAGGGCGCTGACCATGAGCTCCGCCCCCTGACCTCGAGGCCAAGCCTTTGGAGGGAATCTTGGAGGCGCGCTGCGCGGTGCACAAGCCCTCACGTGCCCCGCTCCCAGGCCGGCGCCCTACACCTGCTCCCAGCCCGTGGGCCCCGCGGGGACGGCCCTGCACCTCTACCGGCCCCTGGGCCCGCGGGGACGGTCCTGCACCTGCTCCTGGCCCCTGGGCCCCCCGGGGATGGCCCTGTACCTGCTCCCGGCCCCTGAGCCCCACGGGGATGGCCCTGCACCTGCTCCTGGTCCCTGAGCCCCCCGGGGATGGCCCTGCACCTGCTCCCGGCCCGTGGGCCCCGCGGGGATGGTGAGGCTCGGTGGCGAGGCCAGCCCCAGGGCCTGCGCCTCCCGCTCCCGAGCTGCCACTCAGGGCTCTGCTGGGCACTGCCCACCCTTGTGCGGGGGCCCCCACATGAGACGGTGGAGGGACAGCGGGGCCCCGGGGGATGGTGACGACGGCAGCACCACCTGGGCGGGCGCAGGGATACTCGGGCTCATGACAAGGCTGCCAATGGGTGCGCTGTCGGCGGGTCCCTGCCCGGAACCTGCGGCACACACACGCACAGACCCACGTGTACCCACCTGCACATGCGCGGGCACACGTGTGCTCATGCAGACAAGACGTGCATGTGGGTATGCACACATGGGCACAGCGCACATGCAGACACTCCTGCTGCGGGCCCAGCTGATGGCCAGCACGCGGGTTCTCTCTGTGCGCGCTCACGTGCAGCGCAGCACAGGAGGGGACTGGGTGGCACGTCTCCCCAGGGCCTGTCCTGCGAGCACCCGCCACCCATACCCCGGAAACGCAGTGGCTACAGCTGGCACCGCCCTCCGCCCTCGCCTTCGGCCCACACCTACCCAGGGCACAAAGGCGGACAGACAGGCTTGCAGGCCTGGCCAGACCACACCTGCCACGGGGCCTACGAGTGTGACCAGCCCAGATGTGCGCCCTGCAGAACGGGGAGCCCAGCCTGGAGCAGGGAGCTGCTGAGCCCGCGTGAGCAGCAGTGGAGGCTGGGGCTTTGCCGGGCACAGCCCTCTCCGTGGGCACATCCGGGTGAGGAGGCTCGGCGGCCCTGGCCCGGGCAGCTCCAGAGGCTGGCCGTCAGCAAGGCCCAGGGTCTGCGCCCCGTTCACCCCCACCGGCCCGGCTGCCACCGTCTGGGCAACCCCAAGGCCTGTGGCCGGACATCAGGTCACATCATGCCCTAGGACTGACCAACGTCAGTCCTAGAGGCTTTTCTCAAGAAAGCTTCACTGCTCTATGGACACGGGAAGAGAGGAGAGTGATGGGTATAGCGAGGGCCCCGCACAGGCTCCGCGAGTCAGTTCTTCACTTGGAGGATATCTTTCTTTCTTTTTTTTTTTTAAAGGTTTTATTTATTTATTCATGACAGACACACAGAGAGAGGCAGAGACCCAGGCAGAGGGAGAAGCAGGCTCCATGCAGGGAGCCCGACGCAGGACTCGATCCCGGGACCCCGGGGTCACACCCCAGGCTGGAGGTGGTGCCAAACCACTGGGCCATCGGGGCTGCCAGAGGACGTCTTCCTAAGTTCATCTTTTCCTGCAATAGAAGCCATGCAGGTATCTATTGGCAGCAACACAGTCAAATGATATTTCCCATAATCCTGTGAGCACTTGGGTTATATCTGTGTTTCATCTGAAAAGGATTTTTACTATAAAAATAATGAAGACTCCCTTAAAATGTGAACGATACACAAGGAAATAGTGCAGTCTGCCCGCTGTATCTGTGCATTTGCCTGTTGAATAAGGGCTTTATTTATTTATTTATTTATTTATTTATTTATTTATTTTTATTCATTTATATTTCTTTCTTTATTTATTTATTTTGGCTTTCTTCTTTTAATGAACAGAATCATCGTACAAATACATTGTTCTGGTTTTTTTTCCCCACTTACTATATCCCAGACATTTTTAAAACAAGAATACATTAAAAACCAGTCATTCTTTTTATGGTGTCTATCTATTCCAAAATACCGATGTACTGGAATTTAATATTCTCCAAGTGATAGACATTTGGGTATTTGTTCCTTTTTCTTTCCTAGTATGACCAAAGATTGCGTGTCCATGTGTATGTTTGTGTGTGAAAATGAGTGTTGACCTACATTTTAAGTATCCCTACAGGAAAGATTCCTAAAATTGGAATTAATGGGTCGAGGATATTTCCTGTTAAATGCTGATGGCTCCTGACACTCCGCCTTGTGAAAAGCATCTTGCCCACCCCCCCCCCCCCGGCTCATCAACACTGAATACTCACCCTTTCCATTTGCACTAATCTGACGGGCAAGAGTATGTACCTTGATTTAATTTGTATTTCCCCAATTACTAATAATTTTAGATCCTTCCTTATGGTTATTGGCAATTTATGTTCTTCTTTTTCATAATTCAATTAGTTCATATTAGCTTATTTGTTATTTTCTCACTTATTGGTAAGCAGCCAGCAGCCTTTATGTATTATGACCACAAAGCTCTGCCTGTTACATGTGTCGCAAGTATTTTCTTCTCGTCTGTCACTAAGTTTGCTGTTTCTCTATAAAAGATATAAATCTTAAAAAAAAGATATAAACCTTTATGTCATGAAAATTACCATTTTTTTTCTTTTATGGCTCCTAAGCTTCCTGTTTGATTAGGAAGGTCTTCTCTAATATTCTAAAAATGTTTTCTCTAGGATTTCTATACATTGCATTTTTATATTTAGATCTTTATTCACTCTGGATTTGTTTTGTTTTTTTTTTGGTCGGCATGAATCTTCTGATCTAACATTACATTAAAAAGTTGATCACCACTGACTGTTACGCTATATGTTGGCAAATTGAACTCCAATAAAAAAAAATTAAAAAAGTTGATCACAAGCAAAGATAAGAAAGATCTCGGGATCCCTGGGTGGCTCAGTGGTTTAGCGCCGCCTTCAGCCCAGGGTGTGACCTCAGGGTCCCGGGATCGAGTCCCACGTCGGGCTCCCTGCTTGGAGCCTGCTTCTCCCTCTGCCTGTTTCTGTGCCTCTCTCTGTGTCTCATGAATAAATAAATAAATTTTTTAAAAAAAGAATAAGAAAGATCTCAGTTGTGAGAAAGTGTACGGAATCTTTCTTTTCAAGGGGACTCCCTGCTCCAAGGTTGCACATCCTCAGCTTTGTCACCGTGGCAGGTGCAGGCCCACTCGGGCGCCGATGCCTGGAAAAGCCCACCCCACCGTGCTGCACGTCCACACCCCCCCCCTTGGCCCCACACTCCTGCTTTGCTTATACGCAATTCTCCAGGGTTTTGGTCTCCAGACCCCTCAATACTCTTAAAAGCTACTGGTTACCCCCAAAAGAGCTTTATTTGTATGGATGACATCTATGGATATTTGCCATATTTACACTTAATACTGAAAAACTCTTAAATTTATTCATGAAAAAGTAAACTCCTACGTTAACATATGTAAGAATCATACATGCTATTTTTTAAAAACAAAAATTCAGCGACGAGAGCAGCGTTGCTCTACACCTCTGCACATCTCTTACACGTAAGCCTTAGTAAAAGACAGCTGGAGTCTCCCCTCTGCTTCACCTACGTCTGTTGTGACACGTTGGTTAGGTTGGGGCACGCGACGGCGATCTGGCTTTATTGGCCACCGGGGACTGGGGTCGTGGAGACCCCCAGAGAGCCCGGAGCCAGGATTTGAGACGTGGACGGAACAGCTCCTGGGCCGCCGTCCTGAGTTTTCCAGCACAGGTGTAGCTGCAGCAGGTGCACCGATGCAACACGGGACTCAAAGAGCCCAGGGATCCTGGGCTCCCAAGTGATGTCAGGTCGTCGGGGGGGGGGGGGCGCAAGGGCACCGGCGGGCAGGGCCTGGGCTCCCGTGTCCCCCACCGAGGCAACCAGCCGGCCTGCAGTGCAGCTGGCCAGTCCGGGCGACAGGGGCCCGTCGGGGCTCCGTGGCTGCAGCTGTTCCTGTGCGGGCTGGCCTGGCCTGGAGGCCGCCGTCCTCACACACGTGGCCTGCTCCCAGCCAGGAGCCGCTGGGCCTGGCTGCAGTCTCGGGGCACCTGTGCTGCCCCCTGTGAAGCCCCGGGTGGAGGGACACCGTGGGCTCAGGCCGAGCCCCACTGCACGTGGCCTCTGGGCGAAGGCCATCGGTGCAAACAGGCGGCCACGGAGGGTAAGCACAGCCCACTTCCCCCCGAGGGGTCCCGCGCGAGCTGGGGGTCAACAGGGAGCGCTCTTGGGGACAAGCAGGGGGCACCCAGGCTGCAGGGCAGCTCGCCCTCCAGACTGGGGCTGCAGGGGCGCCTCCCCTCACAGCTGCTCTCCCATAGCCA